ATAATAGGCTCAAAATTATAATTTTTATTAACTGATAATGTTGAAGATGAAAGTTTGGCTACCACTCGAATTGGAAATTCATCCGAATGACATTCTTTATGAAGAAAATTATGTAGTTCTACACATGCTAAAAATTATTGTAAACAAGATTTCAAATTTTTTGTAATTTGTGATTTAAAATATTTTATTTATAAATTTATAAATGATTAAAAAAATAGTGGGACAACTACCTTGATCTCTTATAGCTAAACAAATATGTCCTTGCATTTTATATTGGTATTTGAATGAAAGTTTGTCTTTCATACACATTTATTCATTTAAAATATCTTAGAAATTTACAAACATCTAAGAGAACAAAATTTTTTTGAAATTTGTTATAGAAACAAAATATCTCTATTTATGAATCAAGGAAGTTGTCAAATTTATAGAAAATATGATTATAATATAAAAAAATTGACAAAAAATTATGTTGTAAAACTATTTTATAATCAAACAAATAAAACTTTAAAAATCAATCACTGTAATTTGTGTTTAGATCTTGAAAAAATTAATATTTTATTTTAATTTTTTGAATTATTTTTTAAAAATCAAAGAAAATGAAATAGGTTGAGTTTATAATAAATAAATAAAAACACCTAATATAAAATTTCAATTTTTAGAATAATAAATTTAGTTAATATGATAGGGTAATAAATTATTTAAATGTATATTGAATTAAACTTTATATGTATGTTATATTTAAGATAAAATAATTGCGTTAATTAACAAATCAAATAAAAAATTAAATGATATTTTGAAAATATCTAATTTACATATTATAAAATTTAACATGTGAATATGATAAAAAAATATTGGATGTATATTAAATGAATAATATATATATATATATTAAGTTGTTTAAAGTATAAATTTATTAAATATTGAATCTATTAAAAATGATATTACGACACATGATATGAAAATAAATTTAGTAGTAATATACATTTATAAATAAATGTTTCTAATACTTTTTTCTTTTTATTGAAATTGAAGTATAGATTTAGGTTTAAAAGTTTTATATAAGTATAAATTTGTCTCTTTAATTTAAATTGATTTAAATTAATTTAAAGAAATACATAACACAAAGAGTATAATAATAAAATTAAAATTTGTATTAATATTTTAATAAAAATTAATATAAGAAATTATCTTAATAAAATTTTAAAACGTACATATAATTAGTAATTGATAATTATAAATTACATTTAATTATTATAATTGATAGTTATAAATTATATTTAATTATTATAATTGATAATCTAACAGATTGATTGTAAATTATATTTGATTAATAGTTATAAATTATTAAATATATTTAATAAATGAATATCCAATTACGTTAATAATTAACAATTTAATTAAAAATTATCCTAATTGTGATTAAGAAAATGTGATCAACGTTCTTTATTTTTCATTTTTGTAACTTGGTTTATTTAGGGGTGGGCAATGGGGTAGATTCGGTCGGATTTGGGTGAAAAATATTCAATCGGTTGTAAACTGACTTTGAAAAAATGTCTCATATCTGACTGATTGAGCTCTTCGGTTTGAGGCAGTTTGGATTGAAATGGATTCGAATTTGACTAATTGGGTTTAAGGTTTTTTGTAGCCCAAGTTATCTTAACGAAGTTGTAGCTTAAAACGGTAAAGAATATTTTTAGAATAGTGTACAAAAATAGAATGAAGGTGACAATAGATGATGTAAGTAGATTCGTAGATGAAACATTCACAAACTAAAGAAACAAAAACAAAAGATAACAAAATTCATAGTTGTTACATGCAAAAGAAATCTAATGTTAGATTACAAAACCCATAAGAAATTATAGTTGCACAAGTTGTACTCAAAATGGAGATAGGAAGATGGAAAAGAAAGACAAAGAAAGAAACAAAAAGAAAACTCTAAAAATGGACTAGTGTGTTGAGACTTGAGAAGTTGAATGAGGAAGGAGAAGACAAAAAGAACATCTAGGTTATGAGAAAAAGAAAAAAAATAAGTTACAAATTGATGACTATATTATACTTGAAATAAAAACTTTTGAGTTTGGACCATTATTATTTAATTATACAAAAGTAATAAAAATCTAAACTTATCTTATTTTCAGTTGAGTTCGATTTTTAGCAGGTTTAAAAATTCAAAACCGAACTCTCCCAATATAACTCATATAAAATCAAAATTTTAACTTGATTTACCCATAAAACCCACCTGAACTCACCCAAAAATAATATTTTTTTATCAGGTTTTTTGAATTCGGTTCAGGTATTGTTTTTATGCTCACCCCTAGTTTATTTATTCATCACTGTTCCATTGCAGTATATCCTCTCTATTTCACTGTTTCATTGCGTTATATCCCGTAACATAGAAATTAACATAAATAATTTGGTTGAAGTAATAATAGATAATATAACAATGTGACAGTTATTACTTTGTAACTCAATTTTTATATTATAAATAGAAGATGTATAAATTGGTATAAGAAGTTTGAACTTGTCATGAAGCTTGGTCTAGCAAGGAGAATAAAACCTAGTTCCAAAATTGAAAATTGACTAAGCCCATCTTCACCAGATTCCCACCATGCCTTGAAATAAAAAAATGTATATTGTTACTCCTAACATGGTAGTTCTATAAGATAAAGTCAAAGTAATACAGCATAAAGTTTTCTTGCTATCAGTGGTAAGGTGAGAAATTTTTTTTGAAGTGGTCTATTGCAAAACTTTAACAATTTTTGCTGAACTAATGGCTAAACACGTACAAAAGAATAAAATAAGAGAAAAAAAAAATAAAATTGATTGACAATTTTCACCCAAAACTCACATGCAGTGCAAATTAGCCAGAATTGGAATTTTAAACACAAAAATAAAGACCATTATTAGACATTCTCATGTTTTTCAAAGAGAGAACAAATAATTATTTAAAAAAGTATAGTATCAATGTGGCACTTGTTTTACTCCAACATATAATATAATTAAATTAATAAAGAAATCCAAACATAGTTGAGTAAAACAAGTTTACATGGAAACCGGCTCTAACATCCAATCAAAATTAAAATAAATCACTAAGTGTAGGGTTTACAAATGTATCTAAACCAGGCGGAAATAGTAAATCCAAACAAAATATGAGCTCCTAATCTAATCTCATTGTCCTGATGTCACACAATCAGAGTAACTCATAATTTTAACTCTTGGCACCTTGAGTGCTACCCTTGTCATGATTGTTATTACCTAAAAGAAAATAGAACCACAAAGCGTACGAGTGAGAAAAATAAGCATTCATATATGAAGCATAAGAAAGAATTCCACAAATACAAGACTAACACACATACGATTAACACTAATAACCAATCTCCTTTTCATTATCAATCTTCAAATTTATCAATTTCTATCACCATTACCACATTACAACACAGTCATGCATCATGATCATGCTCTCACCAATACTCATGTAATGCAACCTCCTAAAAAACATTGATTCATTCAGAGCATCACACAATGGACAAATTTTATCAATCTTCTCATGCATTCCTTGTTAATCACCACTCAGGCCAGGATAATGCATATGTGCATGCACCAATGCTTATGCTAATGCACCAAATTAATTCCTCATCCTCATTCAAGCTAATGCACAATCATTAATAATCCGCATATAACCACATTTATATATCCTTCATCCACATAAAAACCATTCATACTCAATTATTCTCACCCACTTACACACCATTAAATTAATGCATACAATAGCCATCAAGGACATCATACATTCATATATACCTTCACAACACATCACAAATCCACGCTTGGCGAAATTACTATTTTACCCGACACTAAGCAACCTGAGAGTTCCAAGTTTCTCTTGCGCCCGGCATCAGGAAGTCACGCCTAGCATTAAGGCCTGGCCTAGACCACCCTTAGATAGTCATGCTCGGCGTGAAATATTCCTCGCTCAACACAACACCTTCTAGGTCTGATATTCATTTGCATGAATATGAGCCCGACACAAAGGGTCCAAGCCCGACACCAACACAATTTCCAAAAAATGAGAAACGAATAGAACAATTCAAACCAATCAAGATCAGTCATACATTTCTTCCTTTCAAAAGAATTTAATCTTAGTCTAGATCGTTAATTTTAACAAACAGCACAATAAAATGAATAAATACAACTATAAATCAATGCAGAACCAATTAGATCACCAATTTCGTCTACAGAAAGGGAATAAAAAATCTTAAAAATTTTAGGGACTTCTCCCACTACCCATTCTCTCTTGTGACCCCACATATGAATCACTTCCTATTCTCCTGTACCTTGTTACGTTAATCAGAACAATTATGATGTAGTTCGGGATTGATCCTAAACACTCCTCCTCAAAGCTCCCTTCTTTTCTTCTCTTTTTCTCCTAACCTTTCAAAACACAAAATGAAGCAGATAGAATTAACTCTACCTAACTCCTTACTTAAAATTCTCTTGGGCCACACCAACCCGACCCACTTCTCTTCCCTAAAATAAATAAATAAATAAGTAAATAATATAAAATATTTTCCCCCTAAAATAATACAAAATAATTCTGACTAAAATATGATAATATAATAATATTATTATTTTTGAAAATAGGATGTTACAATTGCAACCATTGTCTTCCATTCTTGACAGCGAGGCCAATGCTTCATCAAAGAAACCCATTTTCATTGATCATAAGAGTACAACTCCCAGAAAAGTCTTTTGAGGAAGCAGCAATCGCTTATTAGCATAGACTCGTGGTTATGCTTGTTGCCTCAACGTTTTTCTTCTTTGATTAGCATAACATTGCAAGGGTGACGTAAAATTAAAATTGTTAAGCAAATTAAGTATCTTTGCAATTAATATTAAAGAACAAGAGAGAAATAAACTTAAAAAGGATGTTTATTATATCAGATTCTCAATGCTAATCAATGTATTAGTCTCACCCTACTTCATCAAATCAGGGGGTGCGTTACTCTTCAGTAATTCTATAACTAAGTCACAAACACAAATAGGGCAGTTCTATTTTGTGAGAAAGCCCAACTTTGAAGACATTCGTATGCAGTATGTGTATACACTTTTTTGAATCAACAGTTCTATTTTAAATATAATTAAAATGATGAATTAATCTAAGAATACATAAATTTTTTGAATCAACAGTTCTATTTTAAATATAATTAAAATGATGAATTAATCTAAGAATACATAAATTTTAGGCTCATGCTAAAGGGCTAAGTTTTCCATCTCTGCCTTTGGAGATTGAACATGATCCCTGCCTACTGGTATGCCATGAAATGTGATATATGGTTTATTATTTTGTTTCATGTGCTTATTAATCAATGATCAATCTGACTTGATCAGCATATCAAAACCTAGCTTATTTCAAAAATACCCTTGGAGCACTGGAAGCAAAGAACTTCATCCAACTATTTCCGATGTAAATCTAATCTGAGTTATCAATGCCAATGCCTTGAAGTCAATCTTACCAATGCACAAAAGCTCAATGCAAAGGAGCCAAGTGTTAAATGAACCAACCTATAACAAAGGAAAGCCCATGATAATTAACAGTGAAACAAGCAAAGTATTGAAGGCAATCTAATCTGGTTCTATAGAATTCTTGACTTAAAAGTAGTAATACCATCTAACATCTTGGCTCGTTTGTAACCTCATTGTTGTTGGAGTCAGGAGAATGGTCTTCTCAGTCTGAGCTATTTCCAATGATGCAATTTTTTTGCCACTAGAGCTAGTGGCATTCAAGTTTGATGGCTGTAGAAACAGTTTTTAGGGTAGTCCACAAAATCAAAAACAAGCAATCAAACATCAATCCCAGAAACCATGGCATTTCAGATCTGCTCCACTTCTTCCTTCATGTCCTAGATGAAAAGCATGCTAATTAAAAATTTAAATTGTAGTAACTGTTGATTTCATTGAAAATAAAATGAAGAAATTTGTCACATGCCAAATAATAGGACTGGAAATGAAAATAACTAAGAAATGTGGAGAGAATAGACTCAAAACTAGATATAAATTGAAACTTGAATAATCTCACCTTCACCAAGATCCATTGCAATTGATAAATGATGTTACCAACACCAACAATGACAATTTTCGGTGATCCAAATGCAATGGCTACAAGTGTTAGAGCAAGGCCAAGGCCTATAGGTCCAGCTCCCATGATCAATACATTTGCCTCCCACTGATATTGGCCCAGTATCAATCATGTAGCCCAACACAGTGGTAGAATAATAGATTCTTCCTCCAAGTTCATATTGTAGGGAAGCTTAACGCATGAATTGGCTGGATTTACCACCTGACAACAAAAGTCAGAGTGAAAAATTCACTGGTACTCAATTTAAACATTTAGTTTGTAAGATGAAAACATTTAGGGTCATTGAATGAATGCAAAGTTTAACCATCAATTCTTCAATGTTAGGTTCTGATACATCACAAAAGCTAGATGTTGTAGTTGGAGAGTCCAAAGCCTTATAAATCCCATATTTCCAACTTGAGACTCAACTCCCATACCTTTAAATTGGATCCTAACAGTTCCTAACATTATTAAGCTGTCAGCAAATACCACACAGAAATTACGTTAGCCCAGCTACACCATAAAATCCTATTATCTCCCAAAACTAAACAAAAATAAATCTGAGTTCCTTTTTAATTGTCAATTTTTAATTAAATTTTTGTTTCTATTTACTAATTATTTTCAAAATTTACATTATTAATTATTATTTTATCAATTATATCTTTAGATTTCATTTAAGTTAAACTAGTTTATATATTAACAATTAATATGTATTTATTAGAAAATAAAAAAGAAAGAGAGTATAATAAAAAATATCAAAAATATCTTATAAAATTAAAAAAAAAATTATTACATTTTTTTATTTGCATATAAACGATCTTAAATGAGTATTAAAGAAGAATGGAGGTGATAATAAGCATAGTCTCATGTTTCTCTTAACGTTGGCAAATTAAAAGATCCCTCGAGGAATCTCATGGTATTTTTGAACAACATTGTCAAATTTAAAGACCATACAGATAAAGGAAGTTGGGTAGTTTATACATAAAGAAACAAATGAAAACAGGTTAGGGATAGTTTATAATAGGGTCATGAAATTGATTACATTTTGCTATAGACAAGTTATTGTTACTCTTATAACATGTCTCTACTAATCATTTCAAAAAGAAGCTTCTCTACCTTATCATTCTCATCTTTTTTAAACAGAGGAGAAATAATTATTTCAAAAGTTATAGCATTAGGGGTACAACCATTATCTTCCATTTCTTTCTTACTCATTTTACAAGACTACTACTTAAAAAATTTAAAACCAATATTTTTATAGTTGGTCCGACTATGAATATCCTGTGCACAAGGATAAAACTTTGAGAAAAAAGACTAAACCCTAAAGTAAAAAAGTTTTACACCGTGATCAATTCTATACTATCATTTATTTATTGACTTTAATAATAATTACTTCAAAAATTATATTAATTGGTTTGAAACATACACCTAGGTGATGTCACAGTTTTTGAAAAGCTTCCAGTTTGAGTTGTTTTGTCATCAAATCAGCTACTTGATCTTTGGTTCCACAGTGCACAACCTCAACTACACCGTCTCGAGTTAATTTATAAAGACTATATAAGTTCTTTGAAATTGAGCATCCATTTCAAGGGGAAATATGAATCAAAATCCTTACACATGGAGACCGATATTGTTTTGTTTGATACGCGAAACAATCAAGAAGGTTTAAGTGACGTCTAATTGTTATCCACGGGGGACAAATTTAAAAATGAAAACTTGGGAACTAACTGTGAGAAAATCATTGTGGTAAAATATGCCAATTAATCGTATGAGGTTAGACATAGAACTAGGCAGTCACCAGTTCAGAATCCTCTTAAGTGATCACTTACCAAAAAGTCTGCGTTACCCGGGTCAGCAAAAAGCATCAACTTCACCACGAGGTAAATGACAGTCATAGTCAATATTGCTTTCCAATGAAATCTTCATATCATAATATTCTGGCCACTTGTACTTTGATGTGTCTCGACAATCTCTATAGCTTTTGCAGCAATACAAGATCTATCCAACTTTATGCAAGTAACTGTGAGCAACAATAAGCATATCTTGCGTTAAAGCATGATTTTAAATTTGTATCTTGCAATGTTTACATGAAGAAGCCAGCTATGCTACAAAAAGGGTTTCTGCATGAGCATGAAATAAACGGCTGGAGGGATGGCAGGCGCATGTCATACCAATTGATAAGGTACTGCTATGGTCTAATAAATATCTAAAACTATTCTAGAATAGGCTAAGGATTGATTATCTTTTCGGTCCATTCATTCCCAATCATTGGTACTATATATAACCAGTACAATGAGTCAGTATGTGGCTTTCCACAAAATGCTGTAACAAAAAAGAATATAAAGTGTAGTAACAGATGAATATAATAACAAAATGCAATAAAACAACAGAAATGCAGGAATTATATAGCTATTATCCTATTTGATACTCCTCATGATATTAGATATATAGTCTTGCAATTTCATGGACCGCTTAGTTTCTCTTTTGGGTCTGGACTCATAGGTTGTGTTGCTAACATCTACACTCGCGGAGGCATGACTTATGTTGGCCGAGCATTACTATAATATATTAATTTGACACAATACTGAACTCAATGGTTATTAAACCTACTGACTGTAATTCTAGAAATGAAGGCCTTTTCAACTGTATACTATATACCCCGGCTAGAAATAAGGGTTTGTGTATATGAAACCTAAGTGTATATACAGTATTATTTATGCACTTCATTTTACAAATAAGTTATCTTCGGGCAACATTTAACAGTATAAAAAGAATGGCTCTTGAGTTAAAAAAAACTTTACCTTATTGGCAAGATAACTGTAGTTTAATGTAGAGGCAGCAAAACCAAAAGATTCCATCAGGTGACAGAGATTCTAGCAGCCATCTTTGCAAAAATTGAATATTTGACAACTGAATCCAGGCTCAAGAGCCACCCTGTCCCTACTTAAGAGATTTAACTTGAATGCTATGTCATCTACAATTCCAGCAGACTCATGACCCTAGACCATGGGTTTTTTGAAAATGCAATCAGCACCTTTCATTGCCTAACAACAAAGGTAGCTTACACAAACCAGGAAAATAACAAAAACCAAAGAGCTAATAAGTCATAAGCACTCCCCACACAGAAGAACAGAGTGAAGCACAGCCTTCTGGTTTCTGTCTAGATTGATATTTGCATGGCCACAACAAGCTTGTCTCCAACAAGTAGTTCAATCATAGCCCTTTCCTCCAAATTCACAAAGCCAGGTAGCTTAAAGCACAAATTGGCATGATGCATTCCATGGTAATTGAAATGAAAAATCACTTGCAAAATGGAAAATTTACTGAAATTCAATACAATCATTTTGATTGTTAGATGAAAAAAAATCTACTGGTTATTGAATATATGCAAAATCTAACCATCAAATCTTCAATGTTAGGCTACTGGCTTTTATTGACAAGAACAAACTCTAGTGATTTTTGCTAATTAACCTCTCCGCATCTACTATAGATATTGCCTTAGTGCAGCTGCTCCTTAGAATCCAACAATCTCCTGCATAAACAGAAGGAAATTATTTACCCCACATTGTTAACATGGGCAAATTAACTACCCAGTGAGGAATGTAATGGTAGTTCTATAAGATATTGTCAAAATAATACAGTCATTAGTTTTTAATTTTTTATCCTTAGTGGTAGAGTGTGGAAAAAAAAATGAATTGGTCGTTTAAAAAGCTTTAACAATTTCGTTGAGAAAAAAGTAAAACACAACAGAATGATAGAAAAATATCCTAGTAAAATAAGGGAGAAACTAAACTGACTGAAAAATTTCACCCTAAACCCCAGATGCAACACAGATCAGTCAGAATTGGATTGAAAATAGTTAACATAATGACCATCAGTAGATTAAAGAAGCTGATTCATTGGAACACAAATGCATATATAAACAATTGAAAGTAGGTTAGGATAGTAAATACATGAACCACTAATTCAAATCAATCATCTCTTTTCTTTCAAATAACAAAACCCGACTTTTTAACTCAATCCGCACCCAACAACTTAACCATTTTCAAGGAAAATAATGCATGAAGCTTCCCTAACCTGAAGATTGGCTCAGCATTGCCAAGAGTTGAGAAGAAGTGAAATTTCCTTCCGAAACTCAACCCGGGAACCTCCATCTTCCAAAAGCAAGCTTCCTGGCCCATAGTCCTTCTCACTAAAACTTCTCTCTATGTTCCCCTTTTCTCCCCCTCCTCAACCCCTATTTATAGAGGTCAGGAGTGATTAGAACGACCCGTTTTGAATCCAGAACGGCTCGTTTTGAGCTCCTTCGTCATGTGTAAAATTCACATGCAAAACGGCCCGTTCTGAAACCAGAAGGCCCGTTCTGGCACGTCCAGAACGACTCGTTCTTAAACCAGAATGACCCATTCTGGAGTTTAATTTAACTCACAACAACTATATTTGGAACGACCCGTTCTCAACTAGGATTTACAGGAATATTTAGTAGTCTAGAACGGCCTGTTCCAGTTTGGGAACAACCCGTTCTAGGCTATTAAATCAACCTTGTTCTAGTAGTTTGGAACGGTCCGTTCCAACTTTGGAACGCCCTGTTCCAATCTACCAACTGCGTTACACATTTTTATTCCAATATATCATGATTCTTATTGTCTAGCATGTTTTGACTTACTTTGACTTATTTTATACTACCAAATTGAATGCAGTCTTTAAAATAATTATTATAAAAATTAATAAATTTAAATTACATGAGGATAAATAATTACGAGAAATATAAAATTTATAATACCAAAGTGTACTTATCTGAAGGGCACACTAGTAATCTTCTTGTATTCTGAGGGCTGAACGGGAGCTCCAAGCGAATATTCCAATGCGTGGAGGGTACCTACAAAAGGCACTCCGATGCTCAAATCAGGATAAGCACGAGTATCGATAGTAATTAATGAACAGTGATGTTACCTTGTGACATGCGCTATTTATACTGACATTTATGGGTCCGGATTCCCATGGGCCCTGCAACAAGATTACCAGATTAGGTAATACGCCTCTAATCGGCTTGCTGGCGTGATTAGCTCTTAATCCTTGATTATGAGTCAATCCTTGATTCTTATTAATAGAAATCTGAGCCTATGGACCATTTAGTGGCCGAATGGCAATCAGCCACCTGGTTCGGCCATTCAGGTGCTGATTGGGTGTCGGCCAACAGGTGGCCGAACGGCCGAATCAGGTGGCCGAATGGACTTACTAGTACACAAAGCATTCTAATTAAATCATGTAAAATATATATATATATATATATATATATATATATATATATATATATAGTTTGTTAT